TAGTAATTTTTGAGAAATCTTTAATGAATCGCCGGTAAAAACTGGCGTGTCCTAAAAAGCTTCGTATTTCTCTAACGGTCTTAGGTGGTCGGAGTTCTTTTATGACTTCTATTTTGGATTTGTCAACTTCAATCCCTTTATTGGATATGACATGTCCTAGTACGATTCCTTCTCTGACCATGAAATGGCATTTTTCCCAATTGAGCACGAGGTTTACTTTTACACATCTTTCTAAGACTTTCTCTAGGTTTGATAGACATCCTTCGAAACTTCCCCCACATACTGAGAAATCATCCATGAACACTTCCATGATGTTGTCTATAAAATCTGCAAATATTGACATCATACATCGTTGGAAGGTAGCTGGGGCATTACACAATCCGAAAGGCAATCGTCTATATGCGAATGTTCCATACGGACACGTGAAGGTAGTCTTTTCTTGATCGTCAGGGTGAATGGGAATTTGAAAGAATCCGGAGTAACCGTCTAGATAGCAGAAATAGGAATGTTTGGCTAACCGTTCTAGCATTTGGTCTATGAAGGGTAGAGGAAAATGGCCTTTACGAGTGGCTTTGTTTAGTTTTCTATAATCTATACACACTATATGTCCATTGACTACTCTTTGCGTTATTGGTTTGCCTTTCGCGTTCTTAACAACGGTGATACCTCCTTTTTTGGGCACCACGTGTACTGGGCTTACCCACTTACTATCAGAGATCGGGTATATGATTCCAGCTTCCATAAGCTTTGTAATTTCATCTCTGACTACAGTGCTAAGAATCAGGTTGATCCTTCTTTGAGGTTCTCTAGAGGTTTTACAATTCTCTTCTAGCATAATACGATGCATACAAATTGAAGGACATATTCCTTTCAAATCAGATATGTTATAACCTAGTGCGGTTGGGTACCTCCTTAGGACGTCTAAAAGTTTTTCAGTTTCTAGCTTTCCTAAGTTGGAGTTTACTATTACTGGTCGCGTGTGTTCGGTATCAAGGAATTCGTATCTTAGATTCTTAGGTAAGATTTTCAATTCTACACTGGGGTTTTTCGGGCATGGCATATGATCGGGCGTGAGTGCTAAGCTTTCGTTTAGACTGTCATCGTTTTCGAATATTGGAGAGGTTTGGATTTCCATTATCTCAGAATATTTTGTCTGTTCTGCTTCCATTTCCCTTACGCACTCGTCTATGACATCTATAAGATAGCATGTGTCGTTCATGGCTGGTGCTTGTAAGAATTGAGTAAGGATGAATTCCAATTTTTCTTCTCCAACTTTGAATGTTAGTCTGCCCTTCTTTACATTAATTATAGCTCCGGCGGTGGCTAGGAAGGGTCTTCCTAGTATGATAGGGGTAACTGAGTCCTCGGTTATGTCCATGATGATGAAATCGGTGGGGATATAAAATTGACCTATTCTAACTGGAACATTTTCTAGTATACCTACAGGGTATTTAACTTATCGGTCAGCTAATTGGACGGACATTTTCGTGGGTCTGAGTTCTCCCATCTCTAGCTTTTTGCAGATAGATAAGGGCATGACGCTAATACTTGCTCCTAAGTCACATAGAGCTTTGTCTATGACAAATTTTCCAATATTACAAGGTATAGAGAAACTACCTGGGTCTTTTAACTTAGGAGGCATATTGTTTTGAATGATCGCGCTACACTCGGCAGTGAGTGTAACTGTTCCGTTATCTTCTATCTTTTTCTTGTTGGATAGAATTTCCTTGAGAAATTTAGCGTACGAGGGCATCTGAGTGATGGATTCTGTAAAAGGTATTGTGATATTGAGTTATTTCAGAAGTTCAACGAATTTCTTGAATTGGCCCATCGTTTTGGAATTTGTAAGTCTCTGAGGATACGAAATTGGTGGTTTATAAGGTGGTGGAGGTACATAAGGCTTCTCTTGCTCCACTGCCTCTTGAGTTTCGTTTTCCTTTTCTTTTTCTTTAGGTTCATTGGCTTTTTCAGTCGGCTCGCTCTGTTTTTGGTGCATGGCTGGATTTTCTAGTCTCGGGTCAACAGGTCCGTCGAGTTCTTTTCCACTTCTCAGTATCACAGCATTAGCATGTCCTTTTGGGTTGGGGTCTGGTTGACCAGGAAAAATTCCAGTCGGTGCTGCAGTAGGTGCTTGTTGTTGAGCTACCTGTGAAATTTGCGTCTCTAGCATCTTGTTATGGGTGGCTAAAGCATCAACCTTGCTAGCTAATTATTTTATCTGCTCATTAGTATGTAAATTCTGATTCAGAATGTCTTTATTAGTCTGAGCTAGGGAAGCAATGAAGTGTTCTATCATGATTTCTAGGTTAGATTTCCTAGGAGCATTAGGTCCATTACCAGGATGATTTGGGATAGCTTTTGGATAACCGGGTGGTGTGGCAGGAGCTTGTCCAGGCGCGTATAACGCGTTGTTACTTTTGTATGAAAAATTCGGATGATTTTTCCAACCAGGGTTATAGGTATTGCTATAAGGGTTCCCTTGTACGTAATTTGCTTGTTCGGCTGGAACTCCCGTTAGAAGTGGGCATTCTGGAGCAGGATGTGATTGAAGACCACATAGATCGTAGGTTTGGACAACTGCAGCTACGGTAGCTGCAGGAGTAGTGGTAAGGTTTTCTAACTTTTGGGTAAGAGCCTCCACTTTAGCATTGACTTGGTCCAGAATATTCACTTCAGACATTCCACCTTTGGTTTGGGATTTCTCCACATTAGCTCTTTCGCTTCCCCATTGATAGTGGTTCTGGGCCATACTTTCGATAAGTTGATTTGCTTCGGCATATGGTTTATCCATCAGTGCGCCACCAGCAGCGGCGTCTATAGTCAGTCTTGTGTTATACAAGAGACCGCTATAAAATGTATGAATAATTAGCCATTCTTCTAAACCATGATGAGGATAGAGTCTAATCATATCCTTGTAACGTTCCCATGCTTCGAAAAGTGATTCGTTATCTTTTTGTCTAAAACTGTTGATGTTAGCTCTAAGCATAGCAGTTTTGCTTGGTGGGAAATATCTAGCCAAGAAGACTTTCTTCAATTCATCCCATGTGGTGATTGAATTTGAAGGAAGAGATTGGAGCCAGGCTCGGGCTCTGTCTCTTAAAGTAAAAGGAAATAGGCACAATCGTATCGCCTCGGGGTTTACACCATTCGCTTTTACAGTGTCTGCGTACTGCACAAACACTGACATATGTAGATTAGGGTCGTCAGTCGGAGATCCAGAAAATTGGTTCTGCTGAACGGTGGATAGAAGCGAAGGTTTCATCTCGAAATCGTTTCGAGCAATAGCAGGAGCGACAATGCTGTTGTGAGGTTCCGCTTGCGAAGGAACTGCGTAGTCCTTAAGAGCGCGAGGCGGATTCGGTACGTCAGCCATTGTCGATTCTTTGATAAATTCTGATAACGGGATATCAGGAATTTTAGTCGGAGGAAGATTGTTGAGAGAACGGTATTCTTGAATTCGGCGTCTTAATCTTAAGTAACGCTCGATATCGTTAATTTGTAGATGCAAAATCTCTTTTTGAGAACGAGTGTTTGGCATACAACAGAGGGAAATATAAAAAGTTGCCTTAGTCTAGACATCGTTGTTTTCAGAATACACTAGTGACTAAACTAAAGTCCCCGGCAACAGCGCCAAAAACTTGATATGGTGCGATTGACCTAATGTGTCTAACGGTATCTTAATTGCAAGTGCACAGTCTATTGCGGTAGTAATAAAAAGATGTCGAACCCACAGGGACTTCGTAATCACTCTAGTGTTATAAAACAGGTTACTTTAGCTAAGGCGGAAATTGTCACGTTTGGTTTTTTAGAAGTTTAAAACTAAAGGAGAGACTAAATTCAATTAAAAGGATTATAAAATTAAAGCGGTCGGAGTGTAATGTTTTGAACCTACGCGAGTTAAATTGTACCTAAGCATATAAAAAAAATATTTAACTTAAATTGTTCTGTAGTACTTATCAGTTTAAAAACCCTCGATTCACACTCTCGTGGTCTTACCTCGGATCATAATCCTAAAGCCAAATGTCTGCTCTCGCTAGCCCATAAGTGTTTATAAAGCATCTTTTTGAAAACTAAATAAATCTAATTCGTTTTAAAGCGCTCTCGCTGTATTTAAATCGAATGCCTAACTTTAGCTATCCGGTTAAAACCTCACACTCTCGTGGTCTTGATTTCTCCATATTTTACTTTCCTTACTCTCGTAACAAAAAGCTTAATTTTTAATTACAAAAAGTCACGGCCAGAAATTAAGTTAATTAAGGTTTTAGCTTAGAAATACATTAATTCATTCGGTTATTTCATCACACCCCGACTACGGGTATTTATCTACTCATAATACTCGGAATTAAAATGCAGGAAATAAAATCGGGAAACAATAACACATGCATTATAATTAAAGAATAGAAATTTAACCACTACAAGAAAATTAGTGTTTAACGACACAAAAATTGCGACAGTTATGTGATAACTGTCGTAATTGACATATAGAGACAGTGTTTACGACAATTGACACCAACCGTCCCTAATATTTATTTTGCGATGGTATAATTAACCATCATAATATTATTATTACGACGGTAAAACAACCGTCGGCCCCCATTTAACACTTTTAACATTGATTTTTCACCAACAACTAGTCACGACGGTAAAATTAACCGTCATAAAAGGAATATCACGATGGTAAAGCACCCGTCGCACCCTTAAACCTTTCACGACGGTAAAATTGTCCGTCCTAAAATTCATTTCACGACGGTAAAACAACCGTCGCACCCAAAACCTTTAAAAATTCTCATGGGCACGACGGTAAAACACCCGTCGCCGTAAAAAAATTAAAAAGCTCTTCACTTTCTACTCTTGCGTTCACTTTTTCTACTCACGAAGAAAATACAAGAATTCTCGACCTAAGGTTCGTGTGGGTCTTCCAAAGAAGAACCCTAAAGTTTTGAAACCCGTTTTCACCATTCCTCCCAAACTGTTACAATCCCTTCGTTCGTCGGAAGAAGATGAGACCTCCCGGCGGAAGCAGCAACGTTCGTCGGCAACCGAAAGAGTCGGCCTACTTACCACCAACTCCACTAAACAGCCACTGTGACTCTGACTTGAGTTTAGCCAGTAGCCGTCCATCCTCCGTCGGAATCCATTCTCTCGACGTTTACAAAGACCGTTCGTACCAACAGAACGCAACCGCAACCATCAATTCATTCCTGGCCTCTCAGGATATGAATGTCTCTTTCAAACCTTTTTCCTCTCCTTCCGCTAAACACATTCACCAAACCCTAATCTTCCTCGTCGGGCTCCTCGATTTCAATATAAACAAAATAGAAGATCTTCCGCCACTTCTCAAATTCATGAATTACCCTCACAAACTCAATAAATCTGTTCTCAAATCCCCCGCTGCACCTTATCAATGGCCTTCCATTCTCGCCCTCATTCATTGGCTTGTTCAGTCTTGTCAAATTCATCTCTCTTTTTCTTCTCCCTCCCACACCACCACCCTCCAAACCAACAACATCGTCTTCCAGTATTCTCTCAACGCTTATATAAATTTCATTAGAGGTAACGATAAAGCCATCTCCGAACTCGACCACGAAATCCGCACCAGGATTCTCCGTGAGAAGTCTAACGCTGACAACACCCTTGCTGCCGCTGAACAAAAGGTCTCTGAATTGGAGGCTCAATTGGAGGGATTGAGGTCTTCTCCTTCTCAGAAGGATTTACTCGACAAAGAGAAGGAAATGCTTCAAGGAGATGTCATTAAGTTTCACAAGATTATTGACGAGTTTGGGTTGCGGATTGAGTCGAAAGAGAGGGATTTGGTGGAGAAGGAGAAACAGTTGCAGGCTAAGGTCGTGGAGAGCGACAACATATGTCAAGAGAATAAAATGCTAAAGAAGAAGGTGGAGTCACAGCCTTTCAATACCAGGGACGTTGAGAGGATGAAAAGAGAGTTGCAGGCTGCTGAGAGGGATGCTGGAGAGGCTGAACTTGCTAGGAATGATTGGGAGGAAAAGTGTTGGGAGCTTGACCGTACTCTCGCAAATAACATCAGAGACTTAGAACCTATCACCAGGGATTGTAACCAAGCCCTTAAGAGGTTCTTTTCTTTTCCTCTTGTATTGTATTCTATTGCACCCCATTTGTTTTTTTAGCATAATTGTAGTAGTACTATTATTTTGTAGCAAATGCTATGATGATTATTGATACAGAGTGTCTGCCAAAGTTGAAATCTAAGATAAATCTAGTAAGACTTTCTGATTATAATATTTTATTGGCAAATGTTATAATCTAACTAATGGATCAAGTGAAATTATAAACCTTATGATTAGAATTTGTCCAAGGTTTCTCATATTAGCATTGCATGGTTTGTTTGAATCTCTTGATGAAAGATAACTGAGCTGGCTTTGTGTTGATTTCAATAGGCTAGATCAGAACATGAATGCATGATGAATCATCTACCCCTTATCTTCCAAAGAGCTAAGTTAAAGTTAAATTTTGACGCAGGATATTGTGATTTTTGTGTGGTGCAGGATATTGATAAGAAGGATATTTCTCTTAGCAAATTCAAGGGGAAGGTTCTCTTGATTGTCAATGTTGCTTCACGATGGTATGATTTATTCACTTTATATTTGTGTGAAAGCCTTATTTTTTTCAGTTGTAATGTTATGTTTAGGGGAAATTGCACTCACTTTCCCTTTAGGTTATGGTTGGATCGATGAATTAGAAAGGAGCGGAGCAGAATAGAATATTATGGAATGGAGTGGAGTGGAGCAATGGAATGAACTAAATTGTTTTGTTCCATTCCGTCAACTTAAAAAAATACACAACTATCCATTATTTGCAAATCCAAACAAGGGAATCTGATTATATACCACTCCATTTTATTTCATTCCATCACATCCCACCAATCCAAACATAAAATTTTAGGTATGCTTAAGCAGATAGTTCTCCATTGTAGTACATAGTATTAGGGTTTTAGAAGTTTCCGCAATGTATTGCAACCGCATGGGTTGCAAGCATTTATTCACGCATCCGCAATTTAGAATTATTACACTCTCACTTTTCTTATGGAGGACATTAAATTAAATTCGCCTCAGCTTCACGTGCCTCTAATTTGTTATACAAATATTGAGGGGGGCATTATTCAAGTCGAACTGATAGGATGGATTCGGTGTTATTCATTTAACAAACTAGGTGGCGAGTCTTCATTTAAAAATAAATAGTGTGTTCTATATAAGCGTATCTCCGAAGTGATTAGTCAATTTCTGCTAATCAAGTTCTATTTGAGAAGGTTCAAATCAAATACCTTGAAAGTTATGTCAAAGTTTCTGTTATGTTATGATCCTCCTATTGAATGATTTCCTTTGAATGAATGGCAGTGGCTTGACATCATCAAATTACACAGAACTCTCGCACTTGTATGAAAATTTTAAAGATAGAGGTATGTTACTTATGGAGCATAGTTATTTGTTTATTTTTCCTATATTTTTTATATGATTATTGGTGACTAGATATTTTGACAGTGTATCTTCATTTTGAATCTATCTACTTCTGAAATCATTCTGTTTTGAGTTGGATCATGTTTAAGATTAGGAGAGTAGTATGTTTATTCTTCCCTGTTTTGAGTTGGATCATGTTTAAGATTAGGAGAGTAGTATGTCCATTCTTCCTTGTTTTGAGTTGGATTATGTTTAAGATTAGGAGAGTAGTATGTCTATTCTTCCTAGTTCCTATTGAAGTTCAGGCACAGGTAACTTATTGGGATTTTTAGATGTGGATACTGATGTTTGATTGAGTGAAGCTAACCAAATGGGATATGTTGATGTACTTACTTTAAAAACCATATCTCTATTCCAAGTATTTCTCTATCGGCCAAACATAGCTCTATATGGAAACCTATTTGTTATGGTCTTAAATTCATGTCCATTTCAACCAATGAGGGTTGAGTCCAGCAGAAAAGGCTAGTCCATCCCACTTGTAGAAAAATACATTTTGAATCTTTGCTAGAAGAGACAGTCACATTTAGTATCCAATAGTGTCTCGAACAGGATTGACTTCCGTATGAGGATACCCGTGGGGAACTTAATACATGTTTGTTTCCTTGTGTAATGCTTTATCCAATTTATACAGGCAACGTATCTTGTTTTATTTCCATATTTTAAAGGATTCTACCGTTTGGAATTGATACTAACTTGTCTGACATTATAGTACTGTGATTCTCATTCCACGGCTCCTGTTTTGGAATTTAAATGTGTCGTGTGCTTGTTGGGGAGATGGAAAACATAAAATGCAGCTGAGGGAGTTTTTAAAAGAAAAACAGTTTCCCCCCTAAAAGTAGCTGAAAAAAGTGTGGATTGTTTCATTTTGAATACAATTACGATTTTGGGGTGTGGAAGAATGTGCAATAGGATGGAATAGCTATTATAGCAATCCAAATTTCGTTCCAAGTTGGTAATTAATGCAAGCAGCGTGTCAAGGTCATTATTGTGGAACATGAAAGTGAGCTTTGGGCCTTAGATACTTTTCGTTGTAGGAAAATTTAAAATATTCCAAAGGATTTATTTCAAAGTGACTGAAATTCAATTTTCTACTTTGTTGTTTCTCTCTGAACAGCTCTCAGATTTTTAGTTCTAAAGTAATGTTTTTATCAGCCTCACATTTTTAGTGTCCTTATGCATTTTCTTTCCAGGTTTGGAGGTTCTAGCTTTCCCTTGCAATCAATTTGGCATGCAGGAGCCTGGATCAAATGAAGAAATTAAGCAATTTGCTTGCACTAAGTTCAAAGCAGAATTTCCAATTTTTGATAAGGTTTGATACAATGTTTCTATATCCAGTATTCAAAACAGATTACATGCGAGTAAGAGACAAGGTAATGAAGTTTTGTAAAACAGGTTGATGTAAATGGACCATTTACTGCTCCAGTATACCAGTTTCTGAAATCAAGTTCCGGGGGCTTTTTTGGTGATCTTGTCAAGTGGAATTTCGAGAAATTCTTGGTTGATAAAAATGGTAAAGTTGTTGAAAGATACCCACCAACAACATCTCCTTTTCAAATTGAGGTAAACTTTCCAACAACTTAACTGTCTAGCTTCGAATTGTTCAACATAAGAATTGATTTATAAATAACAAACCCTTTTATTAAAATAGGAGAGAATCTTAATTTAGCAACTCGGTATGCTATGATATTACTGTATCTGTGATTTCAATAAGACAGGTATATTATTTTGACGCATTTAAAGTTAAATTTTATGAGTATTATTTTAAAGATTATTATTTTAATACCTTTTTTTAGGGATTGGAATCACCCGCTGATGGTAGACGTTCATCTGAGTCTAGCTACCGTATTGGAGATAATGGAACTTCAGAGGGGACAAATTAGACTTTGCTATGATCGAGATAATTAGATTGTGAACTTTCTCATGTATTTTTGGCATAATGATACTTATTATTATAAGATTAGGAATTGATATATTTTGGGTTTTTTGTACTACTTGACATGATTATGGAACTCGCATTTTACATGATTATGGAACACACATTTTTTTGAATATTATAATGCTTATTTGATGTTAAATATTTTTTATTGAAATTATTTTTACTATATTACAAAGTGATAGAAAATAAAACAAAAAATAATACGATAAATAAATATATTAAAGAAGAAATAATTTAAAGAAAAAAATAACACAAAAAAAAACTATATTTAAAATTTTTTACATAGATAATAATTTAAATAAAAAATATATATAATAGAAAAATAAAAAAAAAATCAAGACATAAACAAAAGTCATGGCGACAGTACCGAACCGTCGTAATCAACAATTAAAAATAATCAACAAAAGTCATGACGGTATCGAACCGTCGCCATAAACAATTTAATCAATTTCAAAAGATATTCACGACAGTATCGAACCGTCGCCATCAATAATTAAAAGAAACTCAAAAGATAGTCACGACGGTATCAAACAGTCACCAATACTTGATTATGTCAGCTCCAAACCCGTCGTAAACTTGAACGACAGTTTTTGTAACCGTCGCGAAATAGGTTGGGGACACACACTTCTGCGACGGTAAAGCAACCGTCGTGGAAAGCAAATTGCGACGGTTTTAACCGTCGTAATCTACAAAAATACTTGTCGCAATCTGCCAATTTTCTTGTAGTAACATAAATAAATTTGCAATTATATCAAATACAATAAAAACCTGAAAAGCAATAATATCCTAGATCCTTCTTCCACAAGCCGGCAAGATTGGAACGTCGGAATGAAAATTAAAATGAATGAAGTGCGAAAATAGAATCGAGATTTAAAATCGGCAGAGCTTCCGCAAGGTTTTTGTAAACTGAACTCTCCCTCCATTTTTTTCCAAGTCTAAGCTATTTATAGAGAATAAAATATGGTTGGAATTATATTTCAGTTGCTAGATTCTTGGCTTGCTGAGAAAAATAAGGAGAAGGTGGTCTTGGTTGTTGGAGAAAAACAAGGTGTACATGCATGCTGCTACTTGACGACGTCCTATTACTTGACCACGTCCAAAATAGCCACTAATATGCTTGTTACAGTCGTAGCTGCTTCATTACGTGCAGTTTCTATAAGATAGTGCGTTATGGTCATGGCAAGGGCGTGACGGTCGTAACACGCTTCTGAAGCGTCTTACGGTCGTGGCAAGGGCGTGACGACCGTAATAGCAGCAATTATGGTTTTTTTTACAGATTTATCTTTTCTCTTCTGGTCTTGTCCGCAATCTCGCACATTTCACGTTTCTTTCTAGTTTGAGCTAAGATATGTTGTACCTGCATAAAATCATACAAAACTCGGAATATTCGAGAGTTAATCGGGTCAATATGATATAAAGAGGATTAATTTTATTGGTAAATATATGGTACGATTTCTCGTTATCAGGTTGCAAGTTCAGGGCTTGAGCAATCTCTTCTAGCTTTGGATCTCTTTCCGTACTGTTGAAGGATAGTTGATTTAAAATGGGAATCCTCAAGAGTTGAGATAATTCTTCCAAAGTAGGCACAAGCTGGTAGTCAGGAAATGTGAAACAGTGATGCAAAGGGTCAAAGAACTGGAAGAGAACCTTCATCATGTTTTCCTCTGTGTTGGAGGTGACCAAGTTGAGTAGACGACCATGCCTCTCGGTGAATGGAGAATTCTCAGGAATCCTTGAAGCTAGCTCCTTGAGTTGTCGAGGAATTCTTACAAGGTTGACTTGGATAGTTTTCCTGCGAAGTGAATCCATAACCTACAAAACAAGAACAAAGATGAATTTCCAAAATCCTTGAAATGGTTAGTGGATGTATATGATGTTCATGATGTCCATGATGTTATGCACAAGTATATATGTACAAGCAAATCAAGCAAGTTCCTAGTTTGGGCTTGGATGGGGTTTTATAGGTAAGTACCCTCTTGAAGTTTAGTTGGCTTAACATGTCCTAGTAATAGTAACCGGGTTCTAAGGAGCTCAATATCACTGGATTGTTTCCTTGTTCATTGTTTCAGTTCAAGCCTCTTTATTGGCGACCGAAATATCCCAAGAAACCAACCCTCAATGAGTGTAGTATCGAGTATCTACCAACTTCGGACTACACCAAAGCCGGTCATCTCACTACATCCTAAAAGGCCAAGTTGGTCAAGTAAAGGGTTTTAGAAGTCCATTAGTGCTTCATGACATCACTCAGCGGCCCTGTATTCTCTTTGATTGACTCAAAGGCTACCGGTACCCACAAATATGTCACACTAACATAGCTATTTCTTAGACCGTGTTAGTATACCCCGTACAGTTTCCACAACGTATTGCTATTTACCTATAATTTTTCGCAAATCTGGGTGGAGGATTCAAACCCAAACAATAGAACCAAAATGTAAAGCAAACAAGTCAAACAAGGTAAGCAAATAAATCTGATCTAAACCCTAAGGTAACCCCACTTTTATAATTTTCCCCAGCAGAGTCGCCAGTTCTGTAATGCGGTGGGAGAACTGACTTGAGGTTTTACGTTTGTGTTTGCAAATGTTGTGGTTTAGCAAGAGTCGCCACCGACTTTTATTTTATCCAAAAGGAAAGGTTAAAAAGCACAGGAAAGACCTTTGAGATGTTTTCTTGAGTTCGGGGGGTAGATTATGAAAGGGGAAGGTGCTAGCACCCTTTTCATCCATGGTTTTCCATGGGCTCTTAGTTACTTGCTTAGATCACTTGCTTTGTTTTGCTTGAAATGGTGTTTGGTGTGATTTTGAAAGTATTTTGTAAAAGAGGCCATTTGTTTAGGAAATCTTTGTAATGATTCTCGTTCGTAAGAATGTATACAAAGATGTTTGTCTTTTGAAAATGTTTTCAATGTTTTGTAAGATGTTTTGAAATGTGTGTGTGTTTTTTAAAATAGCAAGGATTGTTATTTGAAATGGAGCAAATAACTTAGAAGCTATCTACCTACTCAAATGTCTTCCTTGTGCATTTTCTATTCCTTTGACATTGTTGACTTACCATTGATTTGGTAAGCAACCCTATCTTTGGATGTAAACGGGACAGGCGTGGGTCATCGTATAACCATGATAGGAATGTTGCAAAGTATCTTAGCATTTTTTTAGGGACCAAGATCATTTTGTTTAGGCAACTTTTGAATAGCGTCATCGAGGGTCTATAATCTTATATTTGTAGCTCTTCCCCAGAGTCATGATCTCTCCAGAAGAGTAGCTACTCTCCAACAGTATAGCTATTCCCCACAGAGTTCTTCATCCCCAACAGAATGAATATTCTCATTCTTAACTCTCCAGTTTGAAGTTCCCAGGGATTTATTTTCCCTAGCCGATTAAGGATTCTCAGTTTAGATTCCCCAGTAAAGTTGCCAGAGTCTTTATCACTCCCAAGCTTGAGTTTATCAGAATTTTTAATCCCCTGCAGATCGAAGATTCTCACTCTCGCTTCTCCAGTGAAGTCCCCAAGGTTTCAACTTCCCCAGAAGAGTGAAGATTCTCATTCTTAAATCTCCACAAAAGTCATCAAAGTCTTCCTTATTCTCCAGCAGATCAAGGTTTTCTTTCATTTAATCCCCAGTAGAGATTCATCAGGGTTTCCCTATTTCCCCAGCCGAGTAAGGATTCCCATTGATGTACTCCCCAGCTAAAGTCGTCAAAGATCTCTGGATTCCCCAAACAGGTTTCTCAAAGCAGACTTGAAGGATCCCTGTCCCCAGGAAAGTCATGAAGGATTCTCGCATCCCTACAGAAATTGTCAAAGTTTTTGTTAATCCCCACAAGTTGCCAAGGATTTCCTATCCCCAATAGTGGTCCAAGGATTTCTCATCTTCATCAATCAAAGATTTTGAATCTCCAACAGCGGTCATGGATTTATTTTCCCCGACAGCGGTCAAGGATTTTATTATCTCCAGCTATCAAGGATTTATTTTCCTCAGCAAGACAGCTAATCAGCTTACATGCGCATACATTACATTCATACATCATAAACATTGATAAAACACATTTTATTGCATCATACATGTCATGCAACATAACTTTGTGTTTCAGCTAACATTTTACCCTCTTCAGGATAAGATTAAAAGTTACCTTTAACGAATATTCAAAGATTTCAGATAGTTTACGGATACACTCCAGACGCGAAATTCATTCTATTACTCATTCAAATCTCTTATTCAGATACAATATGGATACACCCCAGACACGGAGGTCATTCTATTACTCATTCAGAATACGAAGTCAAGATACAGATTAGATACGCTCCAGACACAGAAGTCATTCTGTCACTTGTCCAGATCCCATTTACAGTACGGATACACTCCAGACACGGAAGTCATTCTGCTACTCATACAGATCTCAACTTCAGATACAGTCCGGATACGCTCCAGACACGGTAGCCATTCTGTCACTCATTCAAACATTTCCCCAGCCCAGAGATGCTCCATACATGGATGCCATTCTGTCGTTTATTCAGATTTCAGATTGAGTACAATACAGATACACTCTAGACACGGTAGTCATTCTGATATTCATTCAAGAATCAAATACAGTTACAGCTTGGATACGCTCCAGATACGGACGCCATTCCATTGCTCGTACAAATTCAATCTCTAAATACAACTCAGATACGTTCCAGATACGGATACCATTCTGATGTTCATCCTCCTGATTTTCAACAAACAGTCTTGGATGGCATCTCTAAGCCCATCTCCAGCAAGATTCTACCATCTCGAAATGGCATCTTTAAGCCCATTTCCTCAGCTACATTTTGAAAAGTGCAAATTTACGGGCACTCTAGTGTCCAATCATCTTTTACCTTCGAGTCACGAAAGGAAAACTCGCCAATCTAACTCTTCAGGTTCAAGAAGATTGAACAAGGTCAGTTGTTATACCCCAAAATTTGCCC